CAAGTCTTGCGTGAGAGTAAGATACGCTTCCATTCGTTCGTCGCGAGCCGCGTATTCTCCATTGAATTGATTAGCCACGAGCTGGGAGTCGCAGCTTGTTGATCTTAAGTCCCCGAGCCAGCTTAAGTCCTGCTATCAGCGCTTCGTACTCAGCCACGTTGTTAGTCGCGTCGAAATTTAGCCGAAAGGATTGTTCAAGGATTTCACCCTCTGGTGATGCGAGGCGGATTCCGACGCCAGAACCTTGTTTTGAGGATGAGCCGTCGACGTGGAGGATCCAAACAGCGTTGGGTGACTCTTCTCGGACGTTCTCTGTTGGCAGCTCGATGATGAAATCGGCCAGGACTTGAGATTTCGCGCATGTTTTGTTTCTGTATTCGATGTCATACTCGCTGAGTTCTACTGCCCACTTGGCCAAGCGTCCGGATTGGCTCGGACTGTGCAGGATGGTTCGGAGTGATACGGGCGCCATGACGACAATTGAGTGAGACTGGAAATATGGCCGTAGCTTCCGAGCTGACATTACTACGGCGAGGGCGAGCTTTTCAGTTTGCAGGTAGCGTGTTTCCGCGTCGGTGAAAGTTTGCGAGACATAAAATATCGGCTTCTGCTCCCCTCTGTCTTCCCTGACTATGACTTCAGTTCCTGGAAAGCTTCTTCGCAGCGATCGGTCCATTCGAATTTCTTGTTCCCGCGCAGAGTATCGTAGAAAGCAAGGCATTTGTCAGTGGACCGCGAGATGAATCGGTTCAAGGCTGCGACTCTCCCGGTGAGACGTTGGACTTCGCGCTTGTTCTGTGGTGAGGGCATATTTAGTAGAGCATCGATTTGCTTCGGGTTTGCCTCAATGCCTCGGTGAGTTACGAGATATCCCAAGAATTCTCCAGACTTTACCGCGAAACGACATTTTGCCGGGTTAAGCTTCATGTTGTGCTTGTTGAGCTGGCGAAAACAGTCGCGTAGATGGGCTATGTGATCGCTTTCTTCAAGGGATTTGACTAACATGTCGTCGATATAAACTTCCATCGTCTTCCCGAGCTGTTCGGAGAACATCCTGTTGACGAGCCGTTGATACGTTGCGCCAGCGTTCTTGAGTCCGAAGGGCATGACTTTGTAACAGTAGATACCTCGGTCTGTGATGAATGCTGTCTTCTCGCGATCGTCGGGGTGCATGAGAATCTGATTGTATCCTGCGAAAGCATCCATGAATGATAGCAACTTATTTCCCGCGGTTGCTTCCACTAAACGATCGATATGTGGGAGTGGAAAACTGTCTTTAGGACAAGCTTTGTTCAGATCGGTGAAATCGACGCAGACTCTCCACTTGCCGTTCTTCTTTTTAACCACGACAGGATTTGCTAACCAGTCCGGATATCTTGCTTCAAAGATCGAGCCGATCTTCAGGAGCTTTTCTACTTCGGCGTTCACTGCATCTGCGCGATCCCGACCCAATTTTCTTCGCTTCTGCTTGATGGGCTTGAAAGATGGGTCAACATTCAGCTCGTGGCAGATTACGTCGATGCTTACCCCAGGTAGATCTTCAGCCGACCAGGCGAAGGTATCGATGTTCTCTTTGAGGAAAGAGATGAGCTCGGTCTTGATTTCTTCGGTTAAATCGCTGCCAATTTCCACGCATCGTTCGGGCCGTTCGTCGTCGAGGCTAATGGAGATCACAGGATCCGAGGTAGGCTTCTTCTCCTCGCGCGCCTCCTCGATCTGTAATTGCTATAACTGTTTAGATATAGCCTTCTCTTCGCTCCGGCCAAGTTTTGATTTCTTGTGATCGGTTTCAGCCTTCGCTTCAGTGACAGGGTTTCGGAGTTTGTGTGCTGCCATGAAACACATCCGAGAATTTTTCTGACTGCCCCATATCGTTTTCACGCCATTAGGGGTCGGGAATTTGACACACAGGTGATATGTTGATGCGACAGCTCGCATTAGATTTAACCACGGGGTTCCCATTATGACGTTGTAGATGGTAGGTCGATCGGTGACTGAGAAGTTGACTATCTTTGTTACCCCGCCGGCTCGGACTGGTAGTTGGATGGTTCCAAGCGTCATCAAAGTTTCCCCTGAAAATCCGAGGACATGCCTCGGGGTCGGAATCACCTGTGACATGTCGATGTTCATTTGTCGGAGCGTTTCGCGAAAGATTACGTCGATGGTGCTGCCGGTGTCAATTAATACTCGGTAGATATCATGGTCTCCTATCGCTAATGTGACGACGATTGGATCGTTATGAGGCATGTCGAGCCCGTTTGTCTCGCTTTCTTCAAATGTGATCACGTCGTTAGGTCGATCGAAGCGTCTTGTCCAGTTGCTAGGCGTTTCGGCTCGGCGTTGATAAGCTTTGATTGCCGCTACGGTGTCAGGACAGTATGGCGATCCGCCCATTATGGTAAGAACCTTCTGCCGCGTACCATCCCGGTCTTCGTCTTCTGACCCCCGGGTTCTTTTCTGAGACTCCTGGTTCCTTGGTTCGGGGTCTCTTCCTGGGTTGGTCTGCTCGGGCTCCGGTTCTGGCTCGAGGTCCTTAAGAGTAACGTTTGTCCCGAGCTCTCCAGCTAGGAATTTGGTTGCTAACTTGGCTCCGAGGCTTCGGCATCTCGAGGTATGATGGCCGAAAATTTTGTGGTGTTCGCAATATTCTTGATCATTGCTCGGTGGCTGATCCCTTGTCCAGGTGAAGGACTCTCTTCCTCGCCCACGGCCTCGGCCTCTGCCGCGGCCACGGCCTCGGGGCGTGTCAATCTGGTAGCTATGGTATCTTGAGAAATTACGCCCTTCGTGATGCGTATACGTACTGCTCTCACGTGTCTTTTTCTGGACCGGAGGCGTCGCTTGGGCTTTCTCGGTTTTCTCGGTTCGGGGCGCCTGTTTTGTTGGCTCGTGCCTCTTTGCTAGTAGCGCCATTTCTTCTTCGTGGGCGACGAAATCCGAGGCTCGATGCAGCGCGTCGCGAATTGTTGTTGGTTTAGACAGGTTCAACTCTTTCCTGAATTCTGACTTGTACCAGAGAGCTTTCTTCAAAGCCGAGAGAGCTGCTACATCTGTAATTCCTTCGACCTTGGCTAGCGTCGATTTGAAGGTCTTGAGGAAATCCCTCAATGGCTCGGTGGGCTGTTGGGACAAAGACCACAGATCCGCGTCGGAAGTTCCGGGGTCGATGAGCACGGAGTATTGTTTGAGGAACAATGTCGACAGCTCGTCGAAACTATCAATCGAGTTTCGTTCCAATCTTGAAAACCACTCTAATGCGGGTCCTTTGAGGTGTTCCACAAACAGTAAGCACAGACCCGCATCCTTTTCCCCGGGCTTGAACCTGGCTCGGGCCACAGATATCACGAACAATTTAATGTGGCACTTCGGGTCGGTTGATCCGTTGTAGGAGTCGATTTTGAACTTTCCCAGGTTGGACATCGTCGTCTCATAAATTCTTTTGGTGAAAGGCGTATTCCGAGATTCTTCCAAAATTCGGTCGATGTTCGGCGCGGAGGATGAGACGCTATGTATCTGGGTTTTGACGAGCTTCATATCGGCTTCCGCCTTGGCTAGGGAGGCTCGGATCTTGCTTAGCTCGTCTTCTCTTTCGGATTCTTTGGCCCACCTTATGTTCTCCTCAGTTTCTTCATCGTCAGTGAGATCTGTTCGCTCGGCGGAGTTAGCTCCGGCTCGGGTACGCTCATCTTGCAGATCATCTGGCTCGTCCGTCAAGTCCACTGCGTTTGGCTCGGTGGGATCATCTTGGTTCTCGCGTCTGGTAGGGTCGGCTCGGACTGCGACTCTGGTGTTGCCGGTTGGTGTCGCGAACGTGAGTCTCGTTGGGTTGATGCCAGGCAAGTCCCTCCGAGCTCGTGGCGGCCGAGTCTGGAAACGTGTGGTTTTTTGTTGCCCACGTGTTGCGATTTCGTCGACTCGCTGCGCCAAGGTTTTGTTAGCTTTCTCTTGGTCGTCAGCTTTCTTCTGGAATTTAACCATTAGATCTTTTAGTTCGGCTAGAGTTGCTATGATCGTCGGATCGGCTTGAGTGGCGCTAGAAAGAGGGTTCGGAGGGTTCGGGTTCCCTCCTCCGGCTGGTGGTGTCTGACGATCGTCTTCGTTCACCATCCTCTCTGATATTCGAGTCTTGCGTTCTTAGGGTAAGAGAATTCTAAAGTAATCCCCACAGACGGCGCCAAACTGTGGAAGTCGAAACTAACACAATCAAGATTTGTCTAAGGTTTTATTTTAGGGATACGATAATCGTGAATTCTCAAAGAACAACAGAAACGATTGTAACCAAAGATGGTGTTCTTGATATTATTAAGAAAAAGATGACTTTGATCGTACAAGAGTTTGATCGTAAAAGGAAAAAGATGTTTGTGCTGTGAGAGCTTTGCGTAGTGTAAATTCTAGAGCGATATTGCTTGCCCTTTCGTTTGAGCCTTGAATCTCTTTATATAGGGATGATAAACCGCTTCTCCAGCGATATTCTCGGAAGATTTCCATTTATCTTGAAGTCGGCCAGAATATCGCGGATTAGGACAATTTCCTTATTCTTTGGAGTTTTCGGAAGATTTCCTGATTTGAGTTGATCCTTCGCGATTCTTCCTTATCATTTCCGAGTTTATCGGAAATGATCCTTCTTTTTCGGAAATGACAACTTGCTTGGAAATGATACCTTTAAAGAAGAATATTTACTAAGTCTTTGCTTCGGGCGATGATGAAGACTTCGCCTCGGGGAACTTGTGCAACCGGCTCGGGCACTTGAAGGGAGCCGGCTCGGGTTCACAAGCTTGCTGACGGACCCCGAGCAGACTACGGGTGTTCCCCGAGGCAACCAATGCAGTGACCCGAGGTGAATGGCAGTCTGACCCGAGGTGAATGGCAGTCTTACCCGAGGTGAATGGCAGTTTGACCCGAGGTGAATGACAGTTTGCACCGAGGTGTCTTCAGAAGTTCCCTGAGGCTTTCGAAGTTCGGCTCGGTGCTATGGGATGAAATCCGACCCTAACAGTGGTGCAGATTTAAAAATCAAGAACCTTGATTTAAATATACCAAAAATTCTCTCGATAACGTTTATTAAAGATGCATGGCGAAGGTTAAACAATTCATTCTGATTTGTTGGGTCACATCCTTCACCACGAAAATCTTGTAGATGATAACGTGTATTTCGTAGTGGAGCTAAGAAATTACGTCGGTTTGGAAACTCACAATCCGCTAAATAATATTTTCCTGAAACATGGAAATATACTATTAAAAATAAATTATCATATGATAAATTACCTTTTGGAACTTGCAATCTATTACCATCTGGAACTTGCAATCTATTAGTTCTTCTTGTTAAAGCATCTTGTAGAACTTTATAGTCGTGAGCAGAACCCTCCCATCCACTCAGAACATATATGAACTCAAGATCAAAGTTACAAGCAGCTAATACGTTTTGCGAAATGACTCCTATTCGATTACGGTAGCTAGCCTTATCAGGACCTTGTACCATTGCATTTATGTGCGTGCCATCAATAGCTCCAACACAATCCTAACATGTATTCAAAATTGTTTATATAAAACTTCAACAAATAGTATTCACACAAGAAAGATACGTACCTTGAAGTAAGGATAAAATCTTGTGCTTTTGCTTATTTTCGCAGGGACTGTATTTGTAGCTTAGCCATCAATGTCGGTGCAAGCATGTTTAAAGCTCTAAGAACCTTATGAAAATTAATACTTGTTGAGAATTTTGATCTCTTGAAAGTGTCCATAGTGTGACAATATCTTGAATTTTGGCCCACTGTCATCAAAAAAGTAGCAACCATCTCTTCGACACACACATGTGGTGTACCTTTCAAACATGTCTTCATTTGGAGAAGATAACATAAATCCGCAAAGACCTCTGGATTCATACGATATAGTTGCCGAAAATGAATAGGATCATCTTTCATTTGTCGTCGCATCGGACGTGGGATTTGACTTTCATAAGCATCAACGGATCCAACCACCATCAATAACATAATATCTACATCTGATTCATCTTCCTCATAAAGATTTTGTTCCATTATATAAAAGCCTACAATAAAACTATAGTAATAGTAAGATCAAAAGTGATAAAAATAAATTTGTTCTCAATCAAAGTAACTAGCCATGACTATAATGATAAAGAGAGATAGACTTTACCGTGAAAGGGAAGAAGAAATTAAAAAAAAGGAGAGAAGAAAGTCCAGTTATTCCTCACAATTTCTCCTTGTGATGCAGCGGAACGTGACGTAGACGTGAGAGGAGAAATGTTTGTTTCACGTGAATTGTATATGGTACATATAAAATTGTAATTTATCTCAAGAAGAAGGAGAGAAGAAAGTACTCCAAAGACGTGAAATGAAAAAAAAAAGATTTTTGGTTATTCTCATAAATGAGATTTTATAATTATAAAAATATGATTGTGAAAATCTTGAGTAGAAGGTAGGATTTTGATTGCTATAATATACACACGAAATCAGCTTCAGATTCCTTCATATCTTTTCAAATCAAAACATTTGTGAAAATCTGTCAAACAACCAATAAATTGGAACTTTAATTGATCATTGTAAATATGATAACCAATAATACTAGATTTTAAACTCTTTTAATAGAGATATTAGAAATATGAGAACCAATAACACTTGATTTTAACTCTTTTAATATAGTAATTAGAAATCTGAGAACCAATAACACTTGATTTGAAATCTGTATTTACAATCAGTGATTGAATAACATTAGATTTGAGTTAGAGTTAGACTCTATTAATATCCACTAACGAATAACACCAAACTTTAAGAGAATCTTAAACAATCTTAATTGAATAACAAAAGATTCTTCATAACATTTCAAGTCATTAAAAGTCATAAACAGTCACAAACCAATAACACCCCCTTAAAAAAAAAATATTATATGATGTCATTATTAGCCATAGAAAACCCCGTAATTGTTAGAAAATATTTTGAGATTAGAAATATTATACTTACCAACCAAAATCCGTATCCAGAGTTTTGTAAAGGCTTATATCATAAAAACAATTAAAACCAATAACATTAGAATAATTAAAGTTAAGAATTAGAATTTTATTTTATTGAAAATTTCTTTTTCTTCCTACCTTAAAGAAAATGAATTAAAAGAGTGAACTTGTTAGCCTACAAAATAAAATCATTAACAAACATCATGAAGAAATTAACATGAAAATGTAAAAAAAATACTGAACACTAAAAACAAAAATAGTATACCTGATGATTAGAAAAGGACTAACTAACCTTTTATTGCATACCTTCTTTAATAGTTTATAAGAGATGAAGTTGATGATCTCCATAGTTTTCCAAAATTTCGATGAAACTGAAACAAATTTCGATCAAGTCAATGGTAGTGATACATCCTCATGATTGTCTCTCATACATACATGCATAAATAGACAAATAATAATATGTTAGAAACGACAAAGCTTCATAAAATTATAAACAATAACAATATAAAGAAATATGAACTAAAAACGAAATTAGAGGTTTGGCGGAATGAATATTTTAATTAGTGGAATAGCATGATCTTAAATATATAGTGAAGTAGACCGTGCTGGTTTAGGGTTTTCAAGAGAATTATTCTGTTTATCTTGCTTTAAATTTGTTTAATTATTTACCTTTTAAGAAAATTTTATAATTAATTTTTTTTGCAAACTTGTCGAAGAATTTTTAATACTCAAATCATAAAGATATTTATGAGACTATCTTTCTATTGTATATTCATTACTTTTATATATTTATTGTTACGATCTATTTTAAGTAATCTATATTTATGTCAATGAATAAAAATTAATTATTTGCTAAACTGATTCGAAATTGATTTTCAAATTATTATTCTTTCCAAAATCTTAACTAAAGATTTGAGCATTAAACGTTTTTAAAATGTATTTATAATAAGTGACTAGGATATGACCCGCGGTACACCGCGGGTTAATTATTTGATTTTTTTATTTTTATAAATTGATGAATTTATTGTGTATAATATTTTTTGTTGTATACCGCGGGTCACATGCGTTGTATCTAAAATAAAAAATTTTAAGTTGTATTTGTTTTGTTTAGTGTTTAAGATTGTATAATTGTATTTTGATTTGTTATTTATAGGATTTCACCTGTGGTATATTGTCTCGTATTAATATTGACCCAAACCCGTCCAACCATATAATCTAAAATGAAATTAAACATCATTTTGTTATTTTTTTAATAACACTTTTATTTAAATGTCATATAATTCGAGTTAATTTGAAAGTTGCTTTCAAATAGTTTCCATGTATATTTTTAAATTAGTGTGTGTTTTTGGACCAACCCGTAAAAACAATTTATAATTGTATCTTAAAATACTAATTAGGATTTCACCCGTGATATACTGTCCCATTTTAGATAATTGTAAAAATTAAAGAAAGATCCGAATGACTCAATTTCGGGTCTGAATAAAATAACGACATGATTAAATGCTCAATTTGTTCTTAAAAATGTTAATATAGATTACACACATATTTTTATTCATCGATTGAGTAATATATGTCCGTTTTAAAAAATTTGAATTGTAACATATGCAGAAAAAAAAAAACAAAAATTTACTAACTATTTATATATTTTATAATAATTTAAAATAATATAAATATAAGATCAAATAAAAGTGAAATAAGAATCATATATTTATGTTTAAATTAGGTAGAGAGGTTTTAGGAAATTAGTGCAAATTTGTTATATTAGCATTAAATCATCATATTTGATTTCTTTATCTATAAAAATCGTGGAGAATATACCATAAATAAAGCGTTTAAATATAGTAATTAGTTGAGAAAGTATATATATTTTAGATTTTATTAATTATTTTCGTTTTTTAATTTTGCCAAAATTTAAGGAAAGATCCGATTGAAGATTTCCGGGTCAAAATTAAACAAATTTGACCCGATTTGGGTACCCCAAAAACTGCTGCAAAAATGTATAGTAGATTAATTTTTCCTAAAATTTCTATAACAGTTGTATAAAATTCAGTTAATTGTTTAGGCAAATAATTAATGGATTAAGATCAACGTGATTATTGCGAATTGACCCGTTAAAAAGGAATGTTTGTGTTTTATGTAAAGTTAATACGAAAAGATTTAAAATGATTTTTGTGATTTTGTTTTGTTTTTAGTTTGGATTTTAATTGTTAGAGCCATATTGACGAATTTAGGGCTTGATTGGTTCTCCCGTTAGCACCCGCCTAGCGGTTGTTAGCGGTCGGTTGCGGTTATTAGCGGTTGGTACCAATCACAGAAATCGCTCCACACCGCTTCGAACCGCTCGAAATCGCTGGATTTCAAAAGCTCCTTCCCGCAAGCGTTTGCGGTTGCGGGCGGTTGCGGTTGGTTTAAAAAAGGAAAGAAACTAAAAAAAGAAAATAAATAAATTAAAATATATATTATCATGTCTTATTTATATTCACGTTAATTATAAAAAAATAATAATTATCTAACTTTAATTTTCTAATAATAATAATTATTTTTGTTTTCAATATAAAAATTTATTTGAATAATTATTTATGGTTTTTAATCATTAATCATGTTTAAAAATTTTATACTTTTCATAATTATAGTTTCTGGTGTTTTATAATTTTTTATAATCATATATTAAATTTATTTTAGTAAACTTTGGTTTAACCGCTATTGTACCCGCTGATCAACCAGTCGTAAATCTCCCGCAAACGCACCCGTTTTCAACCGCTAAACCAGTCGGTCAAAACGCTAAATAACGCTTGAAACCGCAACCGCCCACTTCCGCAAACTCCCACAACCGCAATCGCTGTGTTTAAACCAGTCAAGCCCTTAAAAGATTGTATAGTAGAATTTAAAGGAACAATCGATGAGATAAGATATGTGATCTTAATTAGTTTAGATTGTGAATATCTTCGAAATCAATTAGAGAATAAAGTTATTAAGTTACGATTAATGTAGCACTTAGTTTAGGTAATAATAACAAACTGAATTCTTCAAATTAATATTGGCCAAATATGGGATTGTTTTTATTACAAATTTCCTTAAATCTCTTATCAAGGATCCGAACAAATTAAAACCGGATCAAAACCCGACCTAATTGAATTAAAAACCAAAATCCCCTCCAAAAATGTATATGTAGATATATCTTAATTTAATTCATTTTTGGAACTAATTTTATAACAACCTTAATTATTGTTTATTTAATTATTCATACAAAAAAGGAAAACGATTAATAGATTGATTTTGCAAATTACCTAATTTGGATTTGAAATCTTTTGAATATACGCATTAAATATAATTCTTTATTTATAAGCTAATGAAATATTTGGAGCATATTCTTACAACTGAAACTAAATATTCCATTCTCATCAAACCTAAAAATGTGAGTTGACAATGGAGATTTGGGAATCCATTGCAGGGAGTCCATTCGACGTTTGACGGATGTCCAGGAAAATCATGGGGACCCAAGAGAAGCGGATAAACAAACTTGTGTTTGTTGGAAGAAACTTAGATGAGACCATTCTAAAGAAAGGCTTCAAAGGTTGTCTAATATAAAAGGTAAGAACTCGGAAACAGGTCGGTCATGTTTGTGTGTGTATTTGGGTCTTATAAGAATGGAGTGATGTTGCATGAGAAAAATATGACGTGAATGATTTGGGATGTGTGCCATTCGTTAGAGATTGGTGATGTGGTGGATAATGTTAATTTGAATATTTCAGGTCAAAAGCTAAAATTTGCCCGGCTTTTAAGTTCTATGGACAAAAGTATTATCCCAAATGATTGCAGTAATTAAGTAACCTCTCGTCAATAGTATATTTATTTATAATCTTTTTAGATTAGTGTAATTACTATTTTCCGTCTAATTCTATTACCATGAGGTAGTGAATATGACTATATATGAAATGTAATATATAGAACTAATGAATGTATTTGCCCAGAAAAAAAAAACTAATCTACATATACATTTTTACAGGGTTTTTTTTGCATTAATTTTTTTGGATCCGGGTTTTATCCGGGTTTAACTCTATCCGGATCTTGGATAAGGATTTTTAGGAATGTTGTCTTAAAACAAACGAATATTTATCTTTTAATTACTCTAACAATTCGGTTTAATGATATTACCTAAAATATTTGCCACATTAATCGGCTCCGGATCGTTTTTATATCAAATTGATTACGAATATTTGCACAATCTAAACTAATTACTCTCCACATACCTTATCGCATATATAGTTAGGAAATATTAACCAAAAGATTTAGGAAATAAGAATATATGCAATAATCCATTATCTTAGCCTAGTTCATATGACTATATCTCTTCACTTTCTTATAATTAGCCATATTTAATTCGAAAGATTTTCTCCCTCAAATCAATCCACTGTTACTCCCTAAAATATTAATCTTAAGCATATTCTTTACATATTCCAAAATAAAAATATTGCCTAAATCAAGGGGTCTACAATCTTTTACAATATTCCATCGTAACTATATTGTTACCTTACAAAAAATTCTATCATTAATCGTGATTGATCATATAATCCAAAAATCTGTTGAAGAAATAGATTTTCTACTTGATTTCCAGGATATTCTAAAACCGACTCAACCTTAACCCTACATGAACAATGCATCTATAAATACCAAACGTCAACGGGCTTCAATTTGGTAGTTGTTTGCATTTTTATAATTAAAAAAGATTATGTCTGACGTTCTTATTTGTTATTAACATTCAAAGTTATCTGACTTCCCATCTTCATTGGTAAAGGTTTAAGAGAAGCTCAAGTCATGCCAAGGGAAGACAGCCTTCCGTCGCTTATTCTCAAGATTTTGTACCCCAATATTTCTAGAGGTAATTGTCTATTGGGCATAGTGATGCTTTCAGTTTGTAATTTAGCCGTAAACTGTTTAAAAAGTCCTTTATGTTGTATTTTCTTGCAGTCCTTCAACTTAACCTTTCTAGCTGAATGGGGTGACCGTAACAAGATCGCTACAATAGATGTAAGAGTCATCTTTCAAATCTAGCTTCTTAAAAAAATTGACCAGTGAATGACTTTTATCTTTTTTGAAGTTGGCGACTCACAAGAACGCTATAGGATTGTCCATCGGGGCAACTATTGGACAAATGCGTTGTGTACTTCACCAGCGGTTGTTGGAGGAAGCATGCTGGCTTTAAGGATCTCACAACGGACGGTTGCAACTGTTGGAGGCTTGCTCTTCTTCGGCTTTTCAGTCTCCTCCTATTTCTATCCTCCACTACAGTCAATGCGCTTCTTTCGAAAATGGGTGTTGGAGACATTGTCTAAGTAAAGTTTCAATTTTTTTTTTTTTGTATTAAGTTTGATTTTTGTTTAATACGAAAGAATCCAGCATCAATACTTTTACAAAGCTAATTATATAAATTTTTTAACTATACAATTTTCTATCTAGAAACCATTCGAGGGTGGAGTTCATGTATAATTGTTGGCTGATCACATTTATGATTTTTGTCCCAAGCTTCCATCTGAAACTATAACAGTTTCAACATCTGACTCCGCATAAGTAAGAAATGAATCTCGATAAGGTTTGGTAGCAATCGAACACAAACCAAACTTCATATTAGAGTAATGATTGCATAATCATAGTAAAGTAAACAACATCGTAAAGAGATGTTCTTTATGATACAAAATGCATAAAATATAATGTTGTTTGTGTTCTACTACGGGTTAAATCATAGAGAATGCCATTACTACAATTTTTTATCTATTAGTTAATATAAAAAAAACTTTATCTACAAATATGAATAAATATTCCATATTGTTAATTTTCTTTTTCATTTTAAATATTTATAATATTAAGAATTTTATAAACTTTCAAATAAAATAAATATTTGAATTTTTAAGAATTTATCAGAAATTTAAAAATTATAAATATTTACAAAATATATTAATACGGAACGGTATATTACGGTTGAAATCCTAGATATAACAATCAAAAGACTATTTGAATTTTGGGTAGATATTAATATTGTATGATATACCACGGGTGAAATCCTAGAATTGACAATCAAAATATAACTATACAATCTTAAACACTAAACAAAACTAAACAAACAATATTAACAAAACAAATAAAAATTTTATTTTAATTTTTTAGTTATAAAATATCGTCATGCGGTGTACCATACATTTAAATCAAACAAAACAATAGTATATATCTATAGATCATCTTTAAAAAATTTACTTTAATTATTTAGTAAAATTATAGGCCCGCGGTGTACCGCGGGTTAACATCTAGTCTATATATACATTTTTGGAACACTTTTAGCAAATAAATCCTGGGGTTGGGCAGTATTTACAAAGAATGCCATTGGCATTTATTATTACTTTTACAAAATTTAAATAAAAGATATTAACCAAACAATATCTTGCCTAATTTATTTCTAAAAATCTCTACACAATCTTTCCATATATCTTCAAAAAAATTTATAGCAAATATATATATTAATATTTTGCATAGCAATAAAAATACTAATTTATAATAATCAAATATTCACATAGAAAAATCAAATACACATACAGGAAAAAGAACTATATCTATCATCATTTAAGCCGTTTCTTAATTTAAATTAAAAAAAAAAAACACAAAAACTTGAAATCATATACTTTATATGATAAATTTAAAATATATATTAGTAGTATAAATTTAAAATCGTTCAAAGAACGGTATACTACGGGTGAGATCCTAAAATTATTAGATTTTATAACAATAATAATTTATTTTCTTGGATTTTATAATACTAATAATTTAGCTAACGATATAATATATACGGGTTTATATGGGATGACGGGTTTGGGTCGATATTAATAAATAACGGTATATCACGGATGAAATCCTAAAATTAACAATCAAAATACAATTATACAATCTTAAACACAAAACAAAAGAAACAATATTAACAAAACAAATCCAACTTAAATTTAAAATTTTTAGTTATAAAAAAACCGACCCACGGTATACTTTAGAGTAAAATATTCAAAATTTTAAAATCCACCATACATCGTTACTTAAAAAAAATGTATGTTTTCGTATCTATACTTCAAAAATTGATAGATAGATATCTATATTTAAAAATACAAATTAATATGATATATCTTGAGTTAATCTTTTAAAAAATAACATTACATTTTTTAAAAAAATATAGCCTCGCGGTATACCGCGGATTAAATTCTAGTGAATGTTAACTGATTTTCACACAGCTGCAGTCATTTCTGGAGTTTTCAAAATTCGAAAAAACAGGAAAAATGTATTCTGGTTGGAATAGTCATCTGGTCGGATGTCTATGAGAAAAAGATTCGGTGGATGATGATGTATCTCATAATAGCAACACCTCATATTAAGTTTTCTATCTATATTATTAATTGGGAATCACTCAAAACTAACAAACCTTATTTTGGTAGATTAATTACAATGAATGCCATTAGAATTATTGAATTTAAAAAACAAAAGAAAAAAATTCGAAAAAAATAATATATATATATATATATATATATATATATATATATTATTTTTTTCGAATTTTTTTCTTTTGGCAAAAATATTTTGTTGAGCAAAATATATTTTGGCAAAATATATATATATATTTTGTTGAGCATTTTTCTTTTGGCAAAAATATATATTCAAAAAGTATATATGTTTATTTCGTTGGAGCATTAACAATACAAATTCAAAAAGATTTTTTTGTTTTTTCTATCCAAAACTCAAACAAACTAAATTTTAACTATTATGATTTAATAAGATTTTCATAACAATTGACAAAAATAAATTCGAAATAATAAAAATAGAAAAATACAACTGTTTACGATTAAATCAAATCTTAGTTTACGAAATCATATCACAACAGTTATTATACTTGCCACATATAACTCTAATTATAGATTCTTTTAAAAAAAAAAAATCAAGCATATGTGGATGTAGGATTCACACTCAATTGTTTTTAAGTATTTCAGTGGAGAAAAACTCTTAAAATCAACAAAAGAATATAGGAATTTGAAAGGAAATTTAACCAAGAATAAAAAGTAAAGAAATTTGATAAGAACAAAGTATGCAAAGCCTTGCGAAATAGTAAGAGAGAAAGTATGTTGTATTGCTTAGTTGTATGGTGTAATAATCTGTGAGAAGTTTGTCCCTCAAACACATACGTTTGAGGTTGTTTTTATAGAGAAAACATGATTAATGCGGTCATTCACTGCTCATAATTATATTGATCGGCATTAATCATGTAAGTTACAATTTTGACCGAAACGGCTCGAATGAACTATCTTGGGGTTCACATGGGCCTTCCGAACTCTTTCTTGCTGACTCCGAACTCCCGCGCTTTGATGCTACTGCGAGCCTCGAACAATATTCTCCTCGCTTCGGCCTTTCTCTATGCGAACTATATATCGAATAAGAGAGAACTCCATACTGGCAAAGATCGAACTCTCCTATTGGACTGAATCGAACTCCCGACCGGTTAAGTTCAATAAAATATCTTGAATTCCGAGAAGATTATTATGTAATAATGACGTGGACAGATCTAAGTGGATCATACCGAAAATGTGTGGGATCCGACCCCAACATTTAGCCCCCCAAGTCTTGCGAGCTGAGTGTTCGGCTTGGAAGACTTAAGTAAATAGTAATTAATGAATCGAGATCTTTAATATTCTGGAATTTCTCCATGTTTTACGCTGTATCTCCTACATTTAGGGATCGCTTTTCCCCAAATGGCTCCCAACTTTCTCCGATATGTCCTGAGCACCCTGACCGTTTCGGCAGAAGCAGGGTTTTCTCTCACCACTAGCGAACTCTTAGGGCTATTTCGAGCCCGTGAGTCCAAAGCAGCAGGTATTTTTTCTATGAATCCTATCTTTGACCGTAACCTGATTGACGGAATGCCCTCGCATGATGGGCCCTGGAGGAAATACTGGTTCTTTTTTCCGAGTTAATCCTTATTCCGTTCAAGGTCTTTCCGGTCTTTTTCTCCCAAAATGGTCATCTAAACTTGGTTAGAATCAACCTTTATTATTTATCACTGTATTGTTTGAAAGAAATAGAATTCTTAACTCAACATTTTATTTCAGGGAACCAAACTATTCCCCCTCCAACTGTTGATTTTTTATCTTTCTTTCGAATCGTTTCCGAGGGTAAAACAAATTGGAATTCCTTCACCCTTCAACGCATTCATGATGCGGGGCTCGCTATCAAAAATGGTCAAACTCGCCCCCTCGATCCTCCTCCTGAAGAGAAAGATGGCTCGAGCCTGAATGCTCGCGACAAGAGAAAAATCCTAGCCGAGACTAAAGCTCTTAAGGATCAATTATCCAAAATTGGGAAAAGAAACGGATCGCTGCAATCTCCAAGGTTGGTAACTTCTATAGGAAGACCCTCTTCGTCGACGACGGTTCTTTAGAAGCAGCTTTGTCAATGGCGGTGGATTCTCACGGAGCCGAGATTCCTAACGACCCTCTAGTCGCTTCCGCTACTTGCCTTTCTGCACAAGAGAGAGAGAGAGAAGTAACTTCTTCTCCCCACACAAAGAGGAAGGTTCCAGACTCAGATACTTTGTCAAACGAGAAACTCAAAACTGTTAGATTTAGTTCTTCGTTACAAGCTCCTAGCCCTTCGCATTCTGTTCTCCCTTCTTCGGAACCTTTAGACCCTGAACTCCCTCTTCCGAGTGACAGAGCAATTCCAAAAGAAGTCGCTGAATTGAGATTGGAGGTTCCTCCGTCTCAAGGATTGGGCGTTAGTACTCAAAACCCTTCACCAGCTTCGATTTCAGAAACAGGTAAGTTGTTTTTTTTTTTTTAGAACGCGAGCCTTAGCAAAATTGTTACAGACTGCAGCTGTTTTATTGACCTACTATTCCCCTTTGTTTCGTAGGCGGAGAAGAGATCGGAGACATCTTCCGAAGTTTCCAAACCAGGGCAGGTGCATTCCTTTCCCCTTTTTCAGTTTGGAGGCCGAACATCCGTCAGATGTATGTCAATCGAGCTTGCTACCTATCTCAGGTTTGGAACTTTAGGTTTTTTACTACAATAAACCTTCCTTGTTAAGTAAATTTTTGTTTGAATGACATTTTTTTTACTTCGAAGGCGTTTTTGGAGACTAATGGAATGATCTTCCATTACGAGAACCTCCTTGACCAAGCAATGAAAGAAACCGCAAAGGCAAAGAAGGAGATTGACGAACTTAAATCTGTCAATCAACCTGACCGACTCGATCAGGCGAAAACCTTCGAGTCGTCTTTTGAAGATATGAGGAAGACTTTGGCGGCTAACGAGCAACGCCTTATAATTACGAATGCTGAAAGGGATTCTGCGAGGTCCGACGCTCTTCGCTTGAAGGCTCAGTTAGAAGAGGCCACGGCTTTGTCCGAAGAAGCGAGCCACAAGACCGATTTTTTAGTTAAGACTAGGGCTCGCGAGATCGCCGAAGCCGAGCATAATGCACGAGAAGAGATAAGGTGCTTTGGTAGGCAACTTATTCAGTCTATCGTGAGGTTTGTCGAAGACAAAGAGGTATCGTGAGGTTTGTCGAAGACAAAGAGGTCTGGACTAAACTTCAAACCGATCGAGCCGAGCTGAAGAGTAACCTAGACCTGATTAGGGAACTAGAGAATGGAAGAGTTTTGTTCGAGAACGAGAGGAGAGAAGTTACTGCCAAACTTGTAGCGTCCGCGATCCTTAATAGGATCGCCGGATGAGACTTAGTCCGGGAAAGAAAGTAGGAATCTCGGATAAGTATATTGAGCTGAAGTAAGTGAGCTAACCAGCTGGGACGGTTATTCGGTAGCTCGGGTCAGCTGGACCAGCTACTCGGAAGCTCAGCTAGACTGAACGGAGTGAAGGTCAGCTAACCGAGTGACTACTAGCCGAACGGTTGCCGAGGGTGATGGTTACCACACGTGACCGAATGGGTGTCAAGGAACGGTCATAAGCGAAGAGACACCTTAGGGAAAAACGGTTGGAAACGGTTTTCCACCGAAAACTCTATAAATACAAGTCTTGGGTCGCATTTTTAGCACACACGGAAACACCGAAACATACCGCATAATCTCCAGGCCATCTTGGAGAAAAAAACGATCATAAGAAGTTTCCTATTTGAGACTTGAGATTCATCGGAGGTAGGCTATCCGTAGGATAACGCCGGTTTGGTGATCTCCGATCGTATGGATGCTATGGGTCGTTAAGGGCTTATGGGTTACACATAGTTCTGCATAACTGTGGAAGTCGAAACTAACACAATCGAGATTTGTCTAGGGTTTTAATTTAGGGATATAATATGCAAGAATTCTCAAAGAACAACAGAAAGAGTTGTAACCGATGATGGTGTTCTTGACTTTATTAAGGAAAATAATAGCTTTGATCGTAAAAGAATTAGATCGTAAAAGAAAAGTGTTTTTGCTTAAGAGCTTTGTGTAGTCTAAAATCTAGAGCGTTATTGCTTGTCCCCTCTGTGAGAGCCTTGAGCCTCTTTATATAGGGATGGTAAACCGCCTCTCCAGCGATATTCTCGAAAGATTTCCATTTATCTTGAAGTCGGCTAGAATATCGCGGATTAGGATAATTTCCTTATTCTTTGGAGTCTTTGGGAGATTTCCTGATTTGAGTCGATCCTTCTAGATTCTCTCTTATCATTTCCGGGTATATCGGAAATGATGTCTTGCTTAGAAATGATACTTTTGAAGGCGAATATTTACTAAGTACTTGCCTCGGGTGTCTTGATGATTTCGGCTCGGGCAGCATGGACGATGTCATGACGCTCGACCCGAGTTGAGGAGACTTTGAGAAGATTGGGCTCGGATACTCTCGTCGACTGAGCTCGGGTACTTGAGGGGAGGCGGCTCGGGCGACTTGTGAAGTTGGCTCGGACGAAGGGAGAACCCAGCTCGGATATGATGGTGTAGTCCTTTTGCCTCGGGCAATTCTGCGAAGTCGGCTCGGGGTGAAAGGAAAACTCAACTCGGGAATGGTGACATATGGGTTCCCGAGCTGTCACGGCAAACGTCCCCGAGCCGGTATAGGATGACCCGAGCCGTATCAATCGGCATTCTCCGAGCTAGTTCAGTGACTGATCCCAAGCTGTTTTGGCAGTACCCCGAGCCGGTTTGGTGATACGTCCCGAGGTGTTATGTCTTAGCTCGGACTTAATGCGGGTGGAATCCGACCCCAACAGTTAGCCCCCCAGCTCGTTGTCTTGAGGAGCAAGTGATGAGCTTCATGATCATTAGTCCGAGCAGTTTAAACTTTGTCCCGAGCTTACCCTTGTACGCCGAGGCTATCAAAAAGTTTGAATCCTTTGGTGATCTGAATTTTCTTGACGATTCGAATCCCTTTGACGCTTCATCTTCTTCTTGCGTATGACGATTGAATTTCCCTCTCGAGAAGTGGAAAAGTTTTTCGCTTATTCCCGAGAATTTCGGCGGACGTGAAACTATCTCTGAGTCTACGCGCGCCCGACGTGCCGAAGCGTTTTATAAATACTCCTCTCGCGATTCATTTCTTCAGTTCTGCAATTCTCGAGCAAAAATCTCAAGGTTTGTTTCTTTCGCTCTGATCTTGATTTCCTTTACGTTTCTTCTTTTCCGATTTATTTTCGTCGTTGCGCCACCGTTGCTAGATTTAGGTTGATTTTGCCGATCTCCTAGATCTTGTTTTTCCGATCATCCTCTGATTTTCCCGAGCCAGAAAATGTCGCTTTCAGATTCAAGTGCTTCAACCCGAGGCAAAAGTATTCCTGTTCATAAACGCAAGATGGTTTGGAGCAGCTCAGATGGATCCGAGGCCAGTTCATTAGGTCGACCCGAGCCGGACGGCGGAGCGGAGTCGTCATCTGAGCAACGAGGAGATCTGAGCCAATTTGTGGCTCGGGAAGATGCAATTGCTGATATAGCTTGGGATGAGGATCTCCTTAACGACCCCGAGGCAGTTTTGAATAGGAGGACGCATCCTCCGGCTTCGGACGAGGCTGGTGTTTCTCGCTGGCAAGATGTGCCCGAGCTGCCGATTTTACCCGAGGTGAAGGGTGAAATGGTTGCTTATGATCCCGCGGAGGGTGCCAGGCTCCTTTAGTTGGCAATTCAAGGTGCAATGGCTCAAAGAAAGAAAACCCGAGCCAAGAAAGTGAAAAAACCTGATCCCCCCGGTTCCACTCTGTCGACTTCAGACTCGCTTCACGATTTAAAGTCACGTTTTAATTTCGGCGAAGGGGTGACTCTGCGATTACCGACCCCTAATGAGAGAGCCGACAATCCTCCCGAGGGGTTCTTCACCTTGTTCGAAGGATTCTTCTATTTCTGCTTCCTATGGTTCCCAATCCCGAGGCCGATCATCGAGTACTTGTGGTCGTACAAGCTTGCTCTGGCCCAGATCACAACCCGAGGCCTTCGACATTTGGTTGGGATCCTAGTACATGGATTCAAGACGTACAATAACTTCGGCCTTGATCATCTGAGAAATTTGCTTGAGATTCGCCGTGTTCCGAGCTGCAAGATGGAGAGGTACTATATTTCTCATCGCTCGAAGCGGAGGGTTATAGGCGGCTTCCCGAGCAAAGATGAGAAGTACATTGATCATTTTTCTTCGGTGCCCTAGACGAAGACTGTGTTCCCGAGGGCTGCCTTGGGAAAATGATTGGGAAATGGAGAAAGATTAGTAGTTTATCCAAGATTTCTGCTTGTTTTGTGTTATAGCTTGACTGCTTCAACTAATTCGTCCTGATTTTTCTTTTTGTAGACCGAGGCCCGAGCTTCTTGGATCGTATTCCCGAGGACCTTTTCAGTGTACGCGAGGAGTTGGCTGCTCGGAAGTGTCATTGGATCAAGCATTTTTCTCAAGCAAGGGTTGAAAAGGCGTTGAGGATTCTTCACGGTGCGTCCTGTTCTACTTCCTCATCTTCTTCCGACCAGAGGCTCAGTTATTTGACAGAAATGCAAGGAGTCAAGATGTCTGTGAGGGAAAAGAAGGACGCCGAGAAGAAGGCGCGCGAAGAGGAGCGAATGATCAGAGCAGCTTTCGGGCCTGTAACACGCCCGAGGCGATTGGGGGGAACGAGACAACCGTTGACCCCGAGGTGATAGTCGATCCAGTGGGATCGGGGGTCGACCTTGCCGTTACTGCGGCTCACCTCGAGGTGCCCGAGGGTATCCCGATTGGGGATACTGCCGGCCGAGCTCCCGAGGTGGAGAATACATTGGTGGTTGGTCTGCTTGCTGGAGGGCAGACCAAGTCTAAGGGAAAACGTCCCCGAGGAGAACATTCTGGGGATGCGCGCAAGAGGTCGAAGAGAGCTCACAGCTCCTCTCGGCCTATTTATAAAGACAAGGTTGCTTCTGCCAACCTCATTGCTTCTTGCGCCTGGCCGCTGCTTCCCGCCCCAGAGGGTTTAGTCGAGGCGGAGCGGTACGGTGAGACCGCGGCCAATTTCTTAAAGGTGCGTGTGTGAGTCCCTTTTGCATAAGATAATCTTGTTTCATGTCTTAATATGTCTTCGTTATTTAGTCCTCCAGGCCTTCTCCTCGATGAATACGATGGTTCATTCCTACGATATGCGGCTCGCGCGTACGAGGCGGCTAGAGAGCAACTGGAACTAACCCGGGTTGAGGCCGAGGCGAAGGCAGCTGAGGCGGCTTTGGCGATACAGAGCGCCGAGGCGTTGGTCGTAGCTGAGCAAGACGCGAGGCGAAAAATGGCCGAGGAGCATCTTCGTGCCCAGCGGGAGGCTGAGGCGGCGATTGAGAGCTTTAACCGCCTGCTGACCGAGGAGAAGTCCCTTCGTAAGGCTGAAGTGGCCCGAGCCAAGAAGGCTGCCAAGAGAGAGCTCACTGAAGAATTTGCTGAGAAGGTTAAGGCGACCGAGGCGAAGCTGGGGCTGTTTGACAAGGTCTCCGAGCGATACATCTATTTCTCGCAAGCCAAGGCCAATGCTGAGCTGATCGCGGCACTTGAATCCGGTGGGAAGATTGAGGAGGAGAAAGAGGAGGTGATGAAATGGAAAGAAGAGTTCGGGGATGCCGAGGCTCAATACGCCAAACTTGGGGCGGAGCTTCTTGGAGATTTGAAGGTTGCTCCGATGTCTCCCGACTCTGTTCAGAATGTCCTTGGGGATAGGTCGGTAGAGGACGAAGTGGTCAAGACCGAAGTTGTCGATCCGGTCGGGCCAATTTTGACCTCCGAGGCCACGCAGATTCCAGAGAAGGAAGATTGATCCCGAGGCGCTCCCTCTTTTTTTTTTTTTTTTAAGTTTCTTTTGGTAAAAACTTACGCCTGGATGGCTTTATCCATTTAATATGAATGTTCCTTTCAAGTGCCTGATTTGTTTTCGTTTATCTTGAGATGTTTCCGAACCAAATTCGATACCAGTGTTGAGTAACTGGGTTTTCGTAAATCTGACTTGTTCATCGAGAAGTTAATATTTTCCGAGCCGTTTTAACTTCTGAGCCGAGAAAACGAATTACGCACCAATGTCAATGTAATTGGGTTTTGGTAAAAATGACTTTCGGTTCAGTAGAGGTTAACTTTCAGGACTA